ACTGGTCTATAGTATTCATGCTCTGTAACATTTTTCTGTAATTCAAAAGCTACAGTTCATTGTTTTGAAAGTGTAATCAGTAGAATGATTAATTGTTTCTTCCAGCACTAATTTTTTTGGGATTATGATGATGTTGCTGACTGAGGACGAGGGGGGGACAACACACTTGTCATGTCGTGCTGCAGAAAATCGTACTGTAATCATGTTTTTCAGTTCTCCAAACTGCTTGTTGATTAATCAGGTAAATGATGGAGAGACTAATAATAGAAATGCACTGTTTCAAAGCGACATCAGGAAACATCAGTGCTGATGCTTCACACAAACCACTGATGCAGACCTGAACATTTGGTGCTGTTTTTAAAATAATGTTCAGGTGTAAGGTTTAAGTTTGTAATGTTATGTTAGTTTTACTGAAGATTTAGGTAATGGTGGCACCCTTCATCCTGAGTCACTGTGTTTGATCACATAATTATTTCGTACTGTCAACGTATTCACACAACAGAGAGGCTGAAAGTTAGATGTTGATTTTTACCTCATTTCTTTTGGGATTTCTAGTGGTGCTACTGCAACGGTGCTAACTTTGCATGTTTGTTACACTCTTTTTCTTTTTTTTTTTTTTCTCATCTTATGCTGACATTAGTTGAACGTGAACTGTGTAGGTTTTTGTTTTGCAGTGTGCTCGGATGTTCAAGTGTCTTTGTTTTAATCAAATGAGAAACAGATGTAGAAAAATATTAGCATGATAGTTAATCATCTTTGTGAAGTGGGAAAAAATGTTGGGGCATAATGAAAAAGTGTTTGTGGGATTTTACTCAGGCATTACAAAAAAAAGGTGCTGTCAAAGGAAAAAGTGTCTTTTATTTTCATTTATGTCTGAACTAATTTAGCCAAAAATGCCTTTCCTTGAGCCAAAATCTGTATTACTGATAACAAAATAAAGACCAACAAAACCAGGATATCCTGCTCCAGTCTTTGTTTTTTCTTCACACAGTGAAGTAAAGCTGCAAAAGGGAATTCATAGCATTCACAATGGGCTCTTTAATAATAAGATGCTGTTAATGTGGGTCTGAAACCAATATGTCCTCAAGATGGACTTCCAAAGCCACGTCTTGAAAACTTTGTCTCACACATTTTTATTGTGTTGTTTTATGCCCAATTAAACAATAACAACAACACCCAATTAAAATATAACTTTAATACCAAAAGATAAATTATTCCATTCATTTTTTTCTCAAATAGTCAGAATAATCCATGATAATCTGAAATGCTTGCAGTACACCAACTAATGCAAACTGATTTGCAGCAATCTTTAAATCCATCTTCTCCGCTTATCCAATTAAGCACTGCTGAACAGGACATGAGGTGGGGTACACACTAGAAAGGTCACCAATCCATCACAGAGACAACCAGTCATGGTCACATTAGTCACCAGTTAACCCAATAAGCAGGTTCTTGGACTATGAGGGAGAACCTGCACAGGCAGATCAGCTGGTTCATTCAAATCCAAAACCACCCAACCAATCCACTTTTATTATTTTTGTGTTTTTAAAAATAGGCGCAAACTAGAAAATTGTCAAGGTGTGCTGTAAGAGTATTTTACCCACAGCTGCTGCAGTTACATGTGCACCCAATCTTGTTGTTTTTTGTTTTTTTTTAAGTAATTAAAGATGTTTGCTGTACAATCATTCAACTCTGGAAAAAGGACAGTTCGAATAAATCATTAAAAGCTCCAAATGAAACTTTTAACAACAACTGTATATGAAATTTGGCTCCTCTCAGACCATCATTCTGACACCTCAGACCACAGATTTCTAGTTACTTCCATTAAATGAAAGTTTAGCTTCTCCAAAGAAAACACCAACAGACACAGATGTCATTTACTCCATCTGTTCTAGTGGTGATGGTGTAGGACATGTAGATCTGCTTTGTATGACAAGCTGTACGTATGTTTATGTTGGACTGCTGTGGGGACATGACTGTTGCTCTGCAGTTGTAACAACAGCAGGCTGTTTGCAATGCAACCTTTCATACTTTTTATTATGAGTTTTATCTACACAGTGCTGTAAAGAGTCAGAGGTCACTCTGGGGATGATGATGCGGTTTCCCAGGGTTTTAACATCCGCTCCATTCTAGAGGGAGTGGGATTCTGGTTGCTCGGCTGTATGTCCACTTTTGTCACTCCGGGAACCTCCTTTCCCTCCTGAACCAGTCGCATCACCTCTGCAAAGGAGAGCTGCTTTGTCTCTGTGGGTTCAGAAGTTTCTGCTGTGAGTTCAGAGTCTGAATGTGACAACGCCATCTGGTCCAGCTGCTCGACAGGGCAGCCGTTCACACAGGAAGAAGAGCTCCACTGTTTGTAGCCGGTTTGGTCGATGGGCTCGACAAACCTGTGAGGGGACAACGGGAAGAGGAATAGAGGTTTGTGTTTGATATTTAGTTTCTTTGGAAGGGTAGCTTTAAAAAAAAAAAATTGGGGCATGAAGGTAAACATCACAAAATGCTTTAATGCATTCACTGCTGATTATTGATCTTAACAAGGTACAATGGAAAAGCAGAGCCTTGTATTCACTCGATTACCATCTTTAACCTTGTAAGTGTATCGTAATTTCTAATAATCCTGACCTCAGAACTGCTTTGATTATTATTTTTTATCTTAACCATGGAAATAATTCTGGTATCATTGTTGTCTCAGGTCTTTTGGTGATGCCGAGCTGGACAACGTATTCCTTCATTCCTTTTTAAAGAATGGCCCAGATTATTTGGTTTGACCACTTCTACAGTTTTAGCTCTCTCTGATAGGTTTATCTCGTCTTCCAGCCTAATGATGGCCTCTCTCACTTGGAAACTGACATCTCTTTGGGACTCTTATTTAAAAATGCAGCTATAAAAATACTAATTAAACACAGTGAATCAATATCAGATATTTTGTTCGCTTCATTTGTCATGAAATAAGACAACAGGTCTTATCAGGGCGACAGACTGCTTCTTAGTCAGTTGTCCAATTACAAATTGAGCCTTGGAAAATGGGGACTTTGCATAATTCAATAACAGCTAAAACTACAAAAAAAACAAACAAACCTTGAATTAAAGCTGAAAGTCTGCAGTTGAGTCACATCTTGACTGACTGACTTGAAATCTAATGTGAGGCGTACAGAGATAAAAGTAAAGTGCTGTATGTGCGCAGCTGGTTTATTCTGCCATTGATGTAAAATCCTAATAGTAACCATGCAGAAGCTGGGATGGAGCGCAAAACACTTTTCATTCTGTAATGTAGTAAACCAGAAAACAACATTTTTAACGTGAATCTCAAACGGTTTCACTGTCTCGTTTTTAATCAATCTAATCAGTGCACACTGGGGTGTAGATAAGCACATAAATGATTAACCGGGTGATCCAGGTGTTTCCTACCTGTTGTAGAAGAACAGTTTCAGGTCCAGCAGGTCGGTTTCGGTTCTGTTTACGGACTTCAGACCGTCCACAAACCGCTGATCCGCCTCAAAGTCAAACGAGTCAAACCGTGTAAAAACGAGCTCCATATTCACTCAGCATAACCGACT